ATTTCTGATACCTCTCTAAAAACCCGTATTACTAAAGTCCTGAATATACTGGTCACTTGTATTTGTTATTTAGTTTTAAATAATAGAGAAATGAGAGAAAGCCCAAAGGAAAAAAAAAAAAAAAAAGGATGACTAATGAATGCAGTAGACCTTTATATCAGAAAAAAAAAGAAAGTAAATTTGGAGACAATGACTGTCTGGAGATAGCTTTCCTCTTCAGGTGGTTTTATAATCACTCTCTCCCTTCCCCCATCCATGTGCATGTCTACCACAGTGCAGAGTATCTAATGATTTGTGAATAAATTAATTAAACTGATATCCCTCGTTTCTGGCTTCACTACAAGTAAATAAGGTTTGGTTGAGTGGACAGTGGTCCCAAATCAAGTGAAAGAAATACATAAACACACACCTACACACACACACCTCCTTTTTTTGCTGTCAAGTGACATTCAACACTTTGAAACCTCACCCAGTAAAGAGACTTCCCTGTCACTAGGACAGTATTCTATAAATCACTTTCTTGAAGTAACTTCCTTCTTCCAGAAACTAGGTTATGTTTAACATAAAACTTCTCACAGGAATTCCTTACATAAAGACATTCAGTGCTTCAGACTTTGCCCCCCTCCCTACAGCACCGTACTCACAGGTAGATTTTTAAGATTTTAATTGCAGAGACACCATGCATGCATAGTGTCCAGTCTACAAACTCTGTACTTGAAGAACTGTACTTCCCAAGGACTCGAGCAGCCATATTTGTGATGTATGATTCTACATGCCTTCTACTGTCCCAACTCATAGGTCTCTTGAGGCAAGAGACAACCAGAAAATAGGGATTCTGGGATGTTACTCAAGCCTCTGCTCATCTTGAACTGAAGGCTGAAGCAGCCTTTCTCTTTCCCCTTACCCTCCTCCTCCCCTTCCTCTCCCCTTCCCATTCCCTCCCATCTTGAGCCATATACATAGAATAACAACAAAAACTGGATTGGCAAGGGGGGGGAGCAGAAAGAAGCAAAACTGAAGATCACAAAACTCAAAGAATGAATGAGCCAGCTAGCCTAGATATGAAGGACTTCTAGCTCATGGCTCCAGTGTTCTGAGAACCTGGATTGCATTTTCTGCACTTGGGTCCTGAGAGATATCCTGATCTTCACAGTACAGTACCCCATTTTTTACTTAAAGTAGCTTCCAACCACAATATAAACTCCAGTAAGCAATGGATATTCCTGACATCCCATGAGAAAGGAGGGCCAAAAGTCGTACTGCTCAACAGCAGGGGAATCTACCCACCACCCTTATTCACAAACTCTTTGCTGTTTCACCATTCCTCTGTATTGTTTCTAGGAAAGGACTAATTTGCCTGTTGACAGTGGACCCACTTCCATAGGTGTTTTTTCTTCTGTTTTTTTGTAAAGCTTAAAGTGTGAACTAGAGAATCCTGTAATTCAAGTGTATGTGAGGAAGTGTGGCTCAAGCAGTAGAGCACCTGAGTTCAAACCCCATTCCACCAAAGAAACAAACAAAAAAACCCCAAGTTGTACACAAATGTAAGCTCATCCTCAGTCGTACCCCCCAACCCTTGCATAGAACCCCAGAGAACTCTCCATAGGACTTGCTGAATACAAGAAAGGATGACAAATAGAAGAGCATCAGATTAAGAACACAGACTCTGGAGTAAGAGTTCTCAAGTCCCACTTGCAATGGTGATGAAAGCTCAGAATTCTACTAAGAATTTTATGTACTTTATCATATTTAATGTTCCTTCCCCTTGTTTTATACTTGGTGAGGCCTAAGCCACTTACCTAAGGTCACAAGGTTTAGTAACTATCCCAAGCTTTCATAAACCACTTCTTACTACTGACTTTGAGACTTTGGGCCAATTACTTCAGCACTCAATTTGCTTAGGATTGTGACTCTAAAGATTAAGTAAGATAGTATTTGTACAGTGCTTAGCACTGCGCCAGATGGAACAACTGCTCAATTGAAGCTATTTATTATTACTAGAGTTACTAACTGGTGAGCCTACAGTGAAATGCTTCAAGCAGGAGGACATTTGGTTCTATAAATTACACGTTCTCTGGAAAATAGCCATTTACAAGGTCTGGACAGCCAAAGAAAAAGGAGCAAATTATAACAGTATTTATCTTGGATAAGGTCTAAAATCTCCAAAAGGGAGTAACAGATAAGAAATCCTTTGCCAGCTCTGAAAGCAATGACTATGTGTGAGGTAGGGGGCGCCACACTGCTGTACTTTATAGGAAACTACTTTCCCCAAAGGGTCTTCAGCACCCTGGATTTGTCTCCAGCAAAATGAGGCAAATACACTCTGACCAGTATCAACTTTTTTTAGCAGAGAGAGGGACCACCTAATATTTTTTTCTACACTCCTCCACAATCTCAATTTTAGGTCCAGTATACTCCCTTGGTTATTTCTAAATGCCTTTGCTACTGCTTTGTTGAGACAAAGGTCATTATTATTCAATGACCTTTAAAAGTTCAGCCAAAAAAAATCATTAGGGTATATGCATTCATAAGCATAACCCCAAGAAATTTAAAGTACCTAAAAAAAAATTGTTCTACACTAAATGTTTATACTAGCAATTGTTCAAACTGGGTGATGGGAGTTTATTATACTAGCCAAATGTTTGAAAATTTCCTTAACAAAAAGTTATAAATAAAGTTTTAAATATGTACCAATTCTCTCCTTGGAAAATTTTATTTTTTATTGAAAACCTGTGTAATAAAGGCTACATCAGGAACCTGGGTCTATATCTTACCACCCTGGTAAGCAGCACAAACACAGGACTCCAGAAGGAAGAAAACCAGCAAAGAAGAAGAAAAAAAAAAGTTAAATTAGGGTAAAGCTGATATAAATCATACAGAAATGGGATATGTTCTGCAATGCTTTAATAACTTTGGATAAGAGAATCAAGGACACAGACATCTTTATACAATCAAATCAAATTTTAAAAAAATTTTTACTATATCAATTTTTTGCTCAAGCTTGGTTTGTTTTCATTTCTTAATTGGTTAGGGAATATTCAATCTAGAGGGGGTTTTTCTCAAGCCAGGAACAAAGAACTTTGTGCCAAAACAGCCAAGGTAAAGCCAGAATCTGGAGATGGACAGATGTCTCTTCGGTGGACATGGATTTCCTCTTTTTCAACTCATAGTCACCTTCTGACAGCGTTAACTAAAAAGTTAACAACCCCTAACTAAAGAATCCCATCTAGAAGTCTTGTTTTCCTTATCCTAACTCACAGAGTGGCTTTCATTCCATTTGAAATCTAGCCTGAAACCCTATGCTCACCCATTAAATCAAAACAAAATAAAAATTTTTCAATAATGTTAGTGACATCTTTCTAGTAATTAATTCTGATCGCCATCAGAGCAAAATGTGTTCCTAGAATGCTGGGGAAATGCAAAATGGAAGGTATGGGATTCCTAACACCTGAGTTTAGAAGCCAGAAGCCAGGTCGAAACTACAAGTCCTTCAGCAACACTAAAGCTAACCTTCCCTCCCCCACCCCTGGAGATAAGCAAGGTCATTTAGTACAAAAACAAATCTGATCAAAAGACAAACGACTTACCAGGAGTGGTAGTTATTGCCTATACTCCCAGCACTGGGGAGGCAGAAGCAAGAGGATCGAGTTCAAAGTCAGCTTGGGCTACTTAGACCCTGCCTCAAACAAATAACCACAAAAAAAAAAAAAAAAAAGACCAAACTGATGAAAGAAATTCCCTACTATCAGCAGTCTTCTACAGAGTTCAGCTAATTGAACTTTTCCCAAAGTAACATTTAGAAAGCAGCATTTTCTTCTAAGATTTATTTCGTGTCGTTCATAGCAATGTTCAGATAAGCTATCCATGACCTCCTGGTCTTCAACCCCTTCACTCCTTTCCAGTCTTTACCACTTGCCTTTCACAAGAGTGTTCCTCTCCATTTGTAGAACAAATGAGACAATAGTTTATCACAAGGTCAATCCTAAATTGAGAAACATTACACTTATTGTCAAAGAATGTACATAGGTGAATGTTCCGCCTCCCACACATGCTACCATGCTCTGCCTCACTGTGTTTCCATGGTTCTGAGTGCTGCTTGACCAGAACACAACACAAGGGCAGATCACTCCCAACTACCACTGGATAACTGGCCAGACTATCATTTGAGGGAAGAAAGACTGAGTAACAAGACTATCAAAGTAATGAATCATGGCACGTACATGTTCCCATATTTCTGCCAATCTACCTGTAGATGTTTCCAAGATAAATTACCACCCAGGGAGTCATTCCCTGCTATGTGAACAAAAACAAGGTCTCTATCTGGAGGTGCTGTCTACTCTCCTGAGTCCTTATGTGGTTGTTTTGGGCGAATTTTGCTTGAATTGACAGTAATGAAAGGAAGAAATTTTTTAGACAAGTACATGGTCCAACAGTGTCCTGGATCCAACCGATCAAGGACAGCACTCAGAAGTGAAGAGTTTTACCTTTTCACACGTCAAACTCTTCCTTCCCACCCCTGCCAAACTCCACAAACCAATTGCCACGATGCAAAATCACAACTGGCTCCAGAATTAAGAGTGCTTTTGTAGGAAGCCCCTCCGACCACAGTGAGGGGCAATTTGGGGTGACTCTAAAGTAGACATTTAGGATCATGAGTGCGTGTGTCTCAGACAGTGTTTCTAATATCCTTTCCCTCGTTTGGATCTTTGAGAACCTCCAGGTTTTAAAATCGGATCGAAAGTCATAGTTGTCCAGGACCATTATTTCAAAGGCAACAGAAGGTCATCATAATGATATACCTGAGCCCCTTCACGTGGACTTTTGCTTAGAGGAGTTGGAGCGGGCGCTGGAGGGGGTGAAAGGGGACAGATAAACCAGGTTGGCTTCTAGGTTAAAAACCAAAGTTCGCTGCAGCCCAACGAAGGCGACCTGCAACAGACTCCGAACGCTTCCCGTCCCCGCCAGCGGCAGCTACGGCTGGGCGCCCGCGCGCGTCCTACCTTGGACCTCTCCTTGACATAGTACTTGCCCAGCCGGCTACCGCAGTACAGGACCAGCCTATCGATGAGGGACAGGAGGAAGTTGATGGCCTCGCAGCCCTCCTCGTTGCCCCCGATCCACGTGATCTGGTCGCCCCGTAGGTGCCGCTTGGAGACGCCGGCGCGCGGCCCCGCCAGCTGGCCGTCCCGCAGGACCCCGTTGTAGTGCAGCTGCTTGACCCGCTCCAGGACGCAGTCGCCCACCACCTCTCCCAGGAAGTTATCCAGGTAGCAGAAGCCGACCTCGTGCAGACAAGGCACGATGTACTCCAGGGCGATTTTCTCCAGATCGAGTCTCATGATGCGTCCCAGAGGCATGTCGCCCAAAGAGCCGAGATGGGCAACCCCGGGTGCACGCAGAGCGAGAGAGCGACCTACGCGAGCGCGGGGAGCGGGGTCGGGGTTCAGCAACCTGCGGCGGCCACGGTCCCCGAGCCACCGTAGCGCCAGGGGCGGGGGAAAGTTGTTCGTAACTCAGGGGAGAAGAGATTCCCCCCGTTCAGTGACCCGCGGGAGCTGTGCGCGAACTCCACGACCCAGCGCCCCACTGGCCTCGCGAGGAGTCGGAGGGCCCCTTTTGGAGATGCGGAGCAGCCACAGTGGCTGCGGCGGCCCGAGGCGGGGAGAGGCTGAGGTCCGGCCCCTAAGCCGGCCGACCCTGCGCGTCACAGGCCCCGCCCCCTGGGCGGTCCCGCCCCCGCCCCGCCTCCCCGCGCCGAGGATCCCGGCGAGTCCCGCGCCAACCTCAGTTGTTTGTGACCAGAGGAGGGGGCTGGACAGAGAGGGAATTTTAAGAATGCTCTCGATTTACATATTGTTCTACATAAAATCCCATAACAAACTTGAAAAACCTGGATCCCGACTCTGACATGTTTATGAAATTAACAGCGCGGTTTCCTGCCTCTTTCTGGGCTCGTCACTTCTCAGGCTTTTAGTCAAATGATAGGGCGCAAATGTACTTCCTAAACACCTAGCTTTACCAGGTGCCTCACTCCCCTTTCCTCTGCCGTTGGACCTGGATCAGGAGTTCAAGTCACTAAAGAGAGTGCGAGGAATCCAGTTGTAAGTAAGATGGACACACTGCTCCTCTTGCGCTCCTACTGTGTGCACGGCCTCGTGTGCTTCCATGGGGAGGCGGGGCGCACGGTGAGGAAACGCTGGGACCTTGTCCCAGCCAAGGTCCCAGCCAAGGTTCCCACGGTATTGGGAACCCCGCCAATACTGTGTTTTGCTTTGTCCGTTTCTTCCACCCATTTCTCTTTCAAGCTTTATTAAGGGATGTTCTGAAATTCTGTCTTCAAAATTAATCACAGACTTATGTAACAGTAGACACTGGTTTGTATCCCAACAGACACACTGCATTCCGGGTCTCTCACTTTTTCCACCAGCAACTTGCACTCCAACACTGCCTACAAGACTTTATAATTATCCACAAATCAGCTGTTTGCTTCATAAATTTTAGATTCTCCTACCTTCTGAACACCAGAGATCAGAATCGTGGGGGGTGGGGAGAGTTTCATAAATTGCATGCAAATCCATTTCCATTTTTTTTTTAGTTGGCATCATTGTGCACTCTGGTTCTTCATTTAAGTTGAACAAAAGACTGTAATGACTTGCCAGGTTTACCTAACTGCTTTTTCACTTTTATTCTCTACGTTCCTCTGTTGCCGTCCAAGAGTAGAAGAGGAAAAATTGCTACCATGTGATAACAGAAGCAGGGGCCAGTGGCCAAGGAAGGAACTGCAAGGTGCTGGGGAGAGGAAGTCAATAGTGGAGGTTTTAAGGAGCTTTGGTGAAACTTCTAGTTATATTGAGAACGGGACCATGACTAGTGAGTTGACACCTGTGGTAAGACCATCCAGTACAAGATTATATTATCCAGCAGGAGGTGCAGCTCCTTGGGGTAAAAGTTTCTTCCTTACCCCTTGAGGAGCTCAAGGAGCTGTCACCCAAATTCTCCCAGCAGCTCCATAATGACAGGAGCCCATCATCCTTGGAATCTCAAGAGTCTTACACATAGCAGATGTCTAACAGTTAGTTCCTGGGGACCTGAGGTCTGACCCTGAGCCATGCAGCCCCAACATGGGATTCTGCACAGGTAGCATGCAGGAAAAGTACTGGGAGGCCTCCCCAAGGACTCACTGAAGTCTCAGGCAGATTAGCCCCACCCAGAACAAACCTCAGAGGCCAGTGGAGGGGGTAGTTAGGACTTCTGCAGGCATTTTTCTCTGGACTTTGTCTCCCTGGCCAGCAGTGGTAGAGGTTCATGCGAGACCAAAAGCTGGTGGACTGCTTATTTGCATAAAGGAATGAAATAGGCAATGCCAAAAAGGGGGAGGCCCTTCTCCCCTCTTCTACTGGAACCCATGTAGCCAGGAACCACTTCGATCCCTGAAGTGGTCTCCTGTAGGGACACCACAGACAACCAGGTAACCAGAGAAGCCTGGTGTGAGGCAACCTGAACTGGGTGGTGGTAGCTGTTGGCTTGTGGGTCGGCAGCTTTGAGGACTGCTGGAGACATCAGAAGTAGATATCTCTGAAGAAGGCCCGGATTAAAAAAGGGGAGGAATGACAAATAATCTCTGATAGCTGGCCAATATTTTTCTATCTGAAGGTTCTTTGTAGATATAGCCAATACTCCTAGAAGTGATTAGGAGGAAATTTACAAAGGACTGGAAACCTACAGTAGCTGGTAGAGGTTTTTATTGGCCAACAAAATGCAGAAAGTTATATACCCAGCTCCCAGAATGAACATAGTAACCCAGAATCTTAAATTCTAGGACTGGGTAATTTGCCTTTTGGTTTTTGTTTGTTTGTTTGTTTGTTTGGGTGTACAGTGGTAGGGATTGAACCCAGGACCTTGCACATACTAGGCAAGGGCTCTACCACTTGAGCTATACCCCCAGTCCTTTTGTTTTTGAGACAGGGTCTCACTGCTACCTTTGCCAGGGCTGGCCTCAAACTTGTGATCCTCCTACTTCCACCTCCTGATTAGCTGGAATTATATGCATGTTGATTTAGTATTCAAATAATATTTCCATAATTTCAGAGTAAAATTGCAACTAGTGATAGCTAAGACAATAATCTAAACTGTTCTAAGATGACTTTGGGTACAAAGTGCAGGCAGTATAAGGAGAAATTCAATCCCATGGCACCAGCCCTGCTTGGCAAGAGCACTCATTAATCAGTCAAGGACTTCCCAAGTTCATTAACTTGGTACTGCCAGCACTGCCTTTGGCTGAAGGTTGAGAGATACCATGACTGGAAAAATCAGTGTATGATTACAAAAGGAGCACAGGCAGGCATGGCACTGAGGCCAAAAATCAGAGACAAAATGCAAACTATTGTTAAAGTACATTTGTTTTAGCTATTTTTTTCATCATTCTGTGTCATTTTAATAATGAATATTATGTCACCCAGCTTTCCATTGCTATGACAAAATACCTGAAAAAATCAGTTTATAAAGAGGAAAGGGTTCAGTCCATGCTTACTTGAGCCTGTTGCTCTGGACCTGTGCTGGGGCAGAACACCATGGTAGAAAGCATGCAGTGAAGCAAAGCTGCTCACCTCATGGTGTCTGGGAAGCAAAGTTAGACAGAAAGAGTGGGATCCCAATATCCCCTTCAAGGTCACACCCTCAGTGACCTAACCTCCTTCCAGTAGGCCCTGCCCCCTACCCACCTCCTCCCAGTGGTGCCACAGGTTGCCTTTGGGGGGCATTTAAGACCTAAGCCATAGCAAACATCTTTCATATTAATAACTAAAACAGATTAATTTCCCTGTCATTTAGTTACAGCGTTGTCCTCCAGCATGACTCTGCAGCCCAGCGGGGGGCTTTGTGTGAAGTAGAGGGATTTTAGTGGTCACCTGGTCTAATATCATCTTCTCACAGAGGAGGAAGCAAAGACCCAGGGGGCCTGGACATTAGTACCTCTCCTCAGGAGGAGTCTCAGCAAGTGGAAAGGAAACCTGGATGCTTCTGCCTTCCCTGCTATTACACAGAGAATGCACTCACTCACCTGGTTATCTGAATATGCATTTTGCTTTAATAAGGTGAAATTCACAAAACATAAAATTAGCCATTTCAAAGTGAAAAATTCAGTGGCATTTACCTCATCACAATGCTGTGCAATCACCACCTCCATCTAATTTCAAAATGTTTTCACCATCCTGAAAGAAAGCCCTATACCCATTAAGCAGTCATTTTCTACTCCCACCTCTCCCCAATCTCTGGCAACCACTGATTTGCTTTCTGTCTTCATGGATTTACTCTTCTGGATTTTTCTTAGAAGTGGAATCATATCTACCTGATCTTCAACTTAGCATAAGTTTCATTTTTTATGGCTAAATAATATTCCATTATATGGATATACCACAATTTATTGATCTGCTCATCAACCTGATAAGTATTTTTTCCCCAACTTTAGGCTACTGTGAATAGCTATAAACACATGTACATAAGTATTTGAGTAAACTTTTCAATTCTTTTGGGTATGTACCTAGGAGTAAAATTTAGGGGATTTGTGGTAATTCTATGTAGTTTCACTTTTTGACAATCCACCAAACTGTCTACAGTAGCTCTACCACTTTTCATTCACACCACTAATATGGGAAGGTCTATCAAATTCTTTTTCAATTCTGATAGAAGAAATGTCTCCATTTTTTCTGTTTCATCAAAGTCCTACCAGGCCTGAAGTCCCTTCTGTTCTAACTGGCCTTTTCTGGCTTTTTGTCATATCATACCATCAGGTTTGTCATTATATAACATGACTTTAGTTAGGGCAAGAGCTATCTCATTTATTGATCAATCAGACACTTTGGTAACATTTGATAGTGTGCCATAAGTTTTGCAAACATTACATTAATGAATTCTTATAACAGTATCAAGAAATAGGTAGTCTTCTCATTTCCCATTGTGAAAATGACAAAAACTGAGAATTCCAACAATAGTAAGATTAGGAGAGGGGCATGTTCAGCCACATGTTTGGCGAAGGGACATTTTTGCCCTTAAGAACTCATCTATATTGTAGCTCTTAACTGGAGCACTTTCACCTGCAATGACAATTGTAATTACTGCTTTCATAACTGGTACTTAATGCCAGTTAAGAGATAAGGAAAATGACTCTTCATGTAGTCAACTAAATCATTGATGGTACATTTTTCTTCTACATGAAGAGTCATTTTCCAAACTACAGATTAAGATTTGCATCTTTCTCCATTCCAAATATGGCCCAGGGTTTTCAGGCATCAAACATAAATTCAGTAACATATCAGTCTGTTGCGGACAATCACTAGCAACGAGCTGTACTTCAGTCCCCTGGGGACACAACAAAAGGGTTGGTTTCAATGCATCAACCAAAGTTGATGGTCTTGGGCTCACTGTAGAAGGTGGGTTTAGAGAAGGAAGGGCCTCTGGATATGTCCTTTTTCCCTGTGCAGTTGAGCTGACCCAAGTCTTTTCTAGGTGGAAGAGGTTGACAAAGGAAGTGACATTCTATACCAGTGCTTAAGTGCATCTCAGCACACAGACAAGTTCAAGCCCCTCTCATATGCTCTTTGATAGCTCTGCCTTGTGCTGATTCTGGGAAGTGTGCCATCAAGGATGTTCAGGAGGCAGAGATCAGGAGGAT